ACCGGACGACCTCGTGCTCGCGACCTACCCCAGGAGCGGGACCACCTGGGCGTCGGAGATCCTGTGGGCCATGAGGAACCTCGGTCGCTTGGAGCAGGCCGACGAAGCTGCGAACGGCGACCGCACGATGTTCATTGATATGGTAGGGGAAGTAAGAGAATTTTCGAGTAATTTAATTCGGCAGTTGTGATTGTAAATGAATATATCAAACTGCCGTATTATCAGTTATGAAAACCATAGAGGAATAGAAGTAATAATATCAATTAATTGATTTAAAACTGTCGTAACCAAGCTTGTTACCTTTATTTATTTTTTTTTTATTATTCTCTTTTTTTGTGTGTGTGTATTTGGACTAATTTCTGCAATGGCATCTTCAATTGATAGGATTTCCTGATGCCTTCCCGGGCGGAAGATGACAATCCTAAGGTAAAGGAGTTCCTCACACTTTTCCCCGAAGGCCGCGTGGAAGATGGGGTCGTCCTTCAAATGGCAAAATGTCATAAGGGTCCTCGGATCATTAAGACGCACTTGCAGATCGACCTTCTCAACCATGACCTTCTCGACACGTGCAGGGTGTGTGCAAGTGTTCTCATGAAAAAAAAATAGCATCGCTCCGCAGAATTTGGACGTGCGTGTGCTGTTTTTTTTTTTTTTTCTGATCAGCCGACACCCTTTACTTGTTTACGTGTTTTGTATTTTATGTCTTACAGAGTTTGTATTTGTTTATTCAAAATTGCATTTCAACACCACTTCTACTTTTGGTCAAGGGAAAGAGAAAGATACTTATAATATACAGATTGAAGAATGTGTTCATGTGGTCCATATTTTACTTTTCTCTATTCTTCCTAGAAAAAACATTACATACGTGCGTCTGTTTATCAGTATTTAAGTGAGTGTGGCTGTGTGTGTGTCTATGCGTATCAGTATTTAAGTTAGTGTGGCTGTCTATGTGTCTATGCGTATCAGTATTTAAGTGAGTTTGGCTGTCTGTGTCTATGCATATCAGTAATTAAGTGATGTCTGTGTCTATGCGTATCAGTAATTAAGTGAGTGTGGCTGTCTGTGTGTCTATGCGTATCAGTAATTAAGTGAGTGTGGCTGTCTGTGTGTCTATGCGTATCAGTATTTAAGTTAGTGTGGCTGTCTGTGTGTCTATGCGTATCAGTATTTAAGTGAGTGTAGCTGTCTGTGTGTCTATGCGTATCAGTAATTAAGTGAGTGGCTGTCTGTGTGTCTATGCGTATCAGTAATTAAGTGAGTGTGGCTGTCTGTGTGTCTATGCGTATCAGTAATTAAGTGAGTGTGGCTGTCTGTGTGTCTATGCGTATCAGTATTTAAGAGAGTGTGGCTGTCTGTGTCTATGCATATCAGTAATTAAGTGAGTGTGGCTGTCTGTGTGTCTATGCGTATCAGTATTCAAGTATCGCGTATCAGTAATTAAGTGAGTGTGGCTGTCTGTGTGTCTATGCGTATCAGTATTCAAGTGAGTGTGGCTGTCTGTGTGTCTATGCGTATCAGTATTTAAGGGAGTGTGGCTGTCTGTGTGTCTATGCGTATCAGTATTTAAGTGAGTGTGGCTGTCTGTGTGTCTATGCGTATCAGTAATTAAGTGAGTGTGGCTGTCTGTGTGTCTATGCGTATCAGTATTTAAGTTAGTGTGGCTGTCTGTGTGTCTATGCGTATCAGTATTTAAGTGTGTAGCTGTCTGTGTGCCTATGCGTATCAGTATTTAAGTGAGTGTGGCTGTGTGTGTGCGCATCAGTATTTAAGGGAGTGTGGCTGTCTGTGTGTCTATGCGTATCAGTATTTAAGGGAGTGTGGCTGTCTGTGTGTCTATGCGTATCAGTAATTAATGGTGTGGCTGTCTGTGTCTATGCGTATCAGTAATTAAGTGAGTGTGGCTGTCTGTGTGTCTATGCGTATCAGTATTTAAGTGAGTGTGGCTGTCTGTGTGTCTTTGCATATCAGTATTTAAGTGAGTGTGGCTGTCTGTGTGTCTATGCGTATCAGCATTTAAGGGAGTGTGGCTGTCTGTGTGTCTATGCGTATCAGTATGCGTATATATCAGTATTTGTGGCTGTCTGTGTGTCTTGCGTATCAGTATTTAAGGAGTGTGGCTGTCTGTGTGTCTGAGTATCTGGCTGTCTGTGTGTCTATGCGTATCAGTATTTAAGGGAGTGTGGCTGTCTGTGTGTCTATGCGTATCAGTATTCAAGTGAGTGTGGCTGTCTGTGTGTCTATGCGTATCAGTATTTAAGGGAGTGTGGCTGTCTGTGTGTCTATGCGTATCAGTATTCAAGTGAGTGTGGCTGTCTGTGTGCCTATGTGTATCAGTATTCAAGTGAGTGTGGCTGTCTGTGTGTCTATGCGTATCAGTATTTAAGGGAGTGTGGATGTCTGTGTGTCTATGCGTATCAGTATTTAAGTGAGTGTGGCTGTCTGTGTGTCTATGCGTATCAGTATTTAAGGGAGTGTGGCTGTCTGTGTGTCTATGCGTATCAGTATTTAAGGGAGTGTGGCTGTCTGTGTCTATGCGTATCAGTAATTAAGTGAGTGTGGCTGTCTGTGTGTCTATGCGTATCAGTATTTAAGTGAGTGTGGCTGTCTGTGTGTCTTTGCGTATCTAAGTGAGTGTGCTGTCTGTGTGCTTGTGCGTATCAGTATTTAAGTGAGTGTGGCTGTCTGTGTGTCTATGCATATCAGTATTTAAGTGAGTGTGGCTGTGTGTGTGTCTATGCGTATCAGTATTTAAGGGAGTGTGACTGTCTGTGTGTCTATGCATATCAGTATTTAAGTGAGTGTGGCTGTCTGTGTGTCTATGCGTATCAGTATTTAAGGGAGTGTGGTTGTCTGTGTGTCTATGCGTATCAGTATTTAAGGGAGTGTGGCTGTCTGTGTGTCTATGCGTATCAGTATTCAAGTGAGTGGCTGTCTTGTGCCTATGCGTATCAGTATTTCAAGTGAGTGGCTGTCTGTGTGTCTATGCGTATCAGTATCACGTATTAAGGGAGTGTGGCTCTGTGTGTCTATGCGTATCAGTATTTAAGGGAGTGTGGTTTGTCCTGTGTGTCTATGCGATCAGTGATTAAGTGAATGCATATCAGAGTGTGGCTGTCTGTGTGTCTTTGCGTATCAGTATTTAAGTGAGTTCTATATCAGTATTAAGGGAGTGTGGCTGTCTGTGTGTCTATTGCGTATATCATATGCGTATTAGTATTCAAGTGAGTGTGGCTGTCTGTGTGTCTATGCGTATCAGTATTTAAGGGAGTGTGGCTGTCTGTGTGTCTATGCGTATCAGTATTTAAGGGAGTGTGGCTGTCTGTGCCTATGCGTATCAGTATTTTTAAGTGGAGTGTGGGCTGTCTGTGTGTCTATGCGTATCAGTATTGTGGGCTGTCTGTGTGTGCGTATCGTATTTAGTGTCTATGCGTATCAGTATTAAGTGACTGTGTGATCGTATCAGTATTTTGTGGCTGTGTGTCTGTGCGTATCAGTAATTAGTGAGTCTATGCGTATCAGTATTTAAGTGAGTGTGGCTGTCTGTGTGTCTAGTATTTAAAGTGAGTGTGTCTATGCGTATCAGTATTTAAGTGAGTGTGGCTGTCTGTGTGTCTATGCATATCAGTATTTAAGTGAGTTTGGCTGTCTGTGTGTCTATGCGTATCAGCATTTAAGTGAGTGTGGCTGTGTATGTCTATGCGTATCAGTATTTAAGTGAGTGTGGCTGTCTGTGTGTCTATGCATATCCGTATTTAAGTGAGTTTGGCTGTGTGTCTATGCGTATCAGTAATTAAGTGAGTGTGGCTGTCTGTGTGTCTATGCGTATCAGTATTTAAGTGAGTTTGGCTGTCTGTGTGTCTATGCGTATCAGCATTTAAGTGAGTGTGGCTGTGTGTGTCTATGCGTATAGTGATATATGTATATGTATCCTTTTTCCATCCCTTTGCCTCTTCCCTTCCACCGGCATCCTCCCAGACGGTGTACATCGCGCGCAACCCCAAGGACGTGTGCGTGTCCCTCTTCCACCACGGGAAGATCAGTAAGATGGACGCCTTCGAAGGAGAGTTCTCCGACTTTGCTGAAGCCTTCATGGCCGACCAGGTGATATATGGCCCTTACTGGGACCACGTCAAGCAGGCCTGGAAGCTGAGAGACCACGCCAACCTCCATTTCATGTTTTATGAAGACATGAAGCTTGACATCATTGGCGAGCTTAGGAAATTGGCCAGGTTCCTGCAGCTGGACTTCACCGATGAGCAGCTGAAGACGTGTGTATCTGCGGGTTTGGAGCTTTCATTGTCTGTATTATATATTTAGGTTTGTCATATTTCCTTGTCGCGTTTCGCAATATAATTTATGGAAGGATAGGAATCTCATCTTCATATAGTTAAAATTATGTGTAACACGCGCGCACACACACACACACACACATATATATATATATATATATATATATATATATATGTATATATGTATATATATATATGTATGTATATGTATATTATATATATATATATATATATATATATATATATATATATATATATATATATATATATATATATATATATATATATATATATATATATATATATATATATATATATATATAATATAAATATTAATTTTATGAATATCATATAAGTATATCAATATATATATATATATATATATATATATATATATATATATATATATATATATATATATATATACATATACATATATATATATATATATATATATATATATATATATATATATATATATATATATATACATAATACATACACACACACACACATATATATATATATATATATATATATATATATATATATATATATATATATATATATATATATATATATATATAAAACCTTCATTTTCTCGTCTGCAGCATCTCTGAGCACGCGAGTTTCGGGCGCATGAAATCCCGGCACGAGCGGGAGGCGTCCGGCCGCAACCACACGCCGGGCTTCTTCCGCAAGGGCCAGACC